GTGTATTAATGTTTTAACAGCTTTTGGCGAATAAACATCACACGTTGCGTGACTCAAAATTTGGCCGAGACGAAACTTGGGTCTGGTCACCGACAAAAAAGAAACAAGAACATCTGTTAGATCTTATAACCGCGCTTTTAAAATCTAACTGTTTGCTTACCACTACAGTCGCAACGCAGTGCACATTCTAAAGCAGTCCTTGATGATTCTTTTGTTACTGTAGACATCACATCACTTGATCAACACAAACTCTATTATTGTACCATCAGTCGTAGCCGTTGTGAAATCTCCAATGACGTAATGGTCTTAATCTGAAACTTTCTTCGGGATATGTATGGGCATGAACGATATGAACGTTACGATAAAGGCTATCTCTAAAACGGGGAACGAGGAATCGAGGAATGGGGAACGGGGAACGGTGAATGGGGAATCTCTAAATCGGGGAATCTCTAAAAGGGGGAATCTCTAAAAGGGAGAATCTCTAAAAGGGGGAATCTCTAAAAGGGGGGTCTCTAAAAGGGGGAATCTCCAGAAGGGGGACTCTGTAAAAGGGGAATCTCTAAAAGGAGGAATCTCTAAAAGAGGGAATCTCTAAAAGGGGGAATCTGTAAGTTTTTTTACACTCCTCACTCCTGATATTACTCTCATGATCCTTTTTTTTTCCTGTGGACAAAACGATAATTTAATTTATTCTAAACCACAAAGGCAAATAACAAATTTTCATAACAGTATATTCTTAGTGTTTTCTTAGTGTTTTTTTCAGCTCCTACAAATTGATGGCGACTGAACAATATCTGCCTTTATCATAAATTAAACCAGAAAGCAGGATTTCGTTAAACACCCCAAAACAACAGAACAAAACTAACAAACCTGACAACGATATGTGCCTATGTTTTAAGCCGTAAAGGTTCACATTTTCAGAATGCTGGTTTCCAACTATCCATAGAAACTATGTAAGATTTTCTTTAAATTTTCCAACTTAACAAATCTAAATTCTCCTTACCACATACGCGACGCGTTGAATCAAAGCGTCCGCGAGCAGTCAACGATTCGCCTCCGTCAATCGTGCATTCATATGGTTTCCCAGGTCGCCCGCCATTCAACTTTTTGTAACTAAAAATTATTCTAATGGAGTTTGAAATTTCCTCAATGGAAAATAATCTACATGTCTGTAAACTGACGCTTTAATAAACTTCAGTACATATCGGCAAAATTTTCAAAAAGTTAAACAACCTAGGGCTGTCAACAATTGAAATTGAACGCCTAACCAGGTATGTTTTAGCACAGTGAACGATGACAACCGATCTTGTCGCGACATCTTGGCGAAATTAGTCACAAAAAACAAGTCCGGATAAAATGTAGGTTAAAATTTGTTCGTTAGCGAATAACAACCCCGTATTGTCGTTTTTCTTTCATCGACCAACGTGTGGAACAAAGTGACATATACATATAAACCTGAGATATATATTCTGACAGGTATAACCTGACAGATATATACCCTGAGGAAATTAAGTTTTTAAACTTGACCTTTGCGCGTTCCTGTGACATTTCCTGTAA